CTGGAGACAGATTTAAATTTATGGCCAAAAATAATGTAAACTAACACTGGATTATCTGACCTTAGAAAACTACCCATCCATCAGGAACCAGACTAATAATAATCTTTATTGAGGAAACTTTCACGTACATGTGGTTTCGGATGAACTAAGACAGAAGGCTTATAATGCTACATGTGTATTTATCAGAGATCTAATTGAATAAATTTATTTACTTGGATATCAGATGGATAATCCAGTGGTTTTGGATTTTGTTAAAAATAATTTCACAGGAAAAAGACCTCTTACAGTACATGGTGGTTATGTTCATGAGTAACACCAAGCTATTATTTTGATACAAACTACAAATTTTACTGGAGTCTTGTCTTCTTTTGAGATGGTTCTTCTGATGGCTCTTCTTTACTTGAAGTTTTCTCTCCTTTTTTGGGTGATCTCTTGAAATATGACAGCAATGTGCCAGCAACTGGCTTCTCTGTTTTTTGAGTTCTGGAAAAACACCATCATTCAAAAGTTACACAACAAAATTATGAGAAAAAATGCTTTGTTTTCAACTACCAAAGTAGAAGGTCTGTTCCTGGAAGTGACATCAGCATAATACAAATACAGGTTGTTAATGTTCAGAAGTGAAGAGAGCTGATAAAGCTCCGAAAGCTCTGAAATCCAATGTGATTTTCGTAATCTATATGAGATGTGGCACATGATGTGTCCAGAATGAGCAGGTTGCAGGCCACTGATTAAAAAGTTTAAACCGTTTCCATTGGTTGTCTCCCCAGCTAGTCTATTTACTTAGTGGACTATACCCAGTAACATTACATTATACAAGTAACCCCCAGGAAGCTGTATATGATTATAAATTGTATTGTAAGAATTTAATGCATTGACTCCCAGAGCTTTTTGCCAAAAACGCATTTTTTGGACATTTTGGAGATTTTCAGGCTGGATATGGATCAGATTAGCTCCAATCTACTCAAAAAGGCATTTGCAACATGGCAGTATGCCTTTCTTTCTACTAGCATCGCATTTTACAGAAATCAAAATTTTGAGAGTTTTTGGATCAGGAAGTGACCTACCTCTTTAAGGTTTTTACTTTTTGTAATTTTTTTTTTCTTTTTTTGTCTTTCCTTTTTCTCCTTTTCTTATCTTTTTGCTGCAGTGATTGACCTTTTACTGGGCTTGCTTCCAGTTCAAAAACATTCTGAGAAAGCATCATTGAGACAGGCAATTTTTACCATGTGTAGTCGCAGGAAATTTTGCTCTGAGTTTTTTGCTCAAATTTTTGAGCATTTTCATGCACATTTCAGGCTCCATTGAGCTGATCACTCTGATCTGGGTACCTATCATTGGAAAGATCTTTTCCTCCTGCAGAAGTTGAGTATAGATGATGCCAATTTTGGTCAAAGGTGATGACGTCAGAAGTGGAACAAAGGCCAAGGCTCGTCACGGCCGGTTACGGGTGGCACAGGAGTCAATGGGTTAATTATAATAAAACTCATTACTCACAAGTCAATTGGCTTGATACACTCTGGTGATTTATTCCTAGAGTTGTTGACCATCATGGAGACTGGATGCCACTCCAAGCAGTCCTTGGGTGTGACTAAGTTTAGAGCCTATTGATTGAATCATGACATGGTAAATAAAGCTCATTTATCCAATTTTATTCATTAACTTTCCAGTTGTTGAAAAAATGACAACTCATGTTTTCTAGACCAGCTAGATCTGGTAAATGATATAACATTATGTTTCCTTGGTTATAATTATAGCACTTTCAACGCTGAAATATAAATTAACACAAGAGAAAAACGATTATCAACCTTTTTCCAGGGGACTTCTCCACATTCTAACCACTGACGGACCTCTTCTTCACCATGTAGAACAGCCTTAAAATTAAAAAGATAACTATGGATTTGTGTTGAAATAAGTAAACATTTAATAATTAAAATAGAATAATGTAATATTGTAAACACACCAAATTAAAGAACAAACTGAAGAAAAAAAAGAAACAACCAAAAAGAACTAGGGACAAATGAATCAATTATTATAACTTGACTTTTAAATATGGTCATAGGTCTTGTTCCATATCAGAGAAATGATTATTACAATGCAAATAATTAACTCAAATTACTGAAATAATACTGATTATTATATGGCTGTGTCTCACAAGGACTGGGAACTACCGAATTCACAAATTTGATTGGCTGAAATCGATATTGACCGCAGTCTAGATTTTCCCATCTAGACCAACATCTCCTCACTGCGTTCGGTCTGTACTCACAACCTTGGTCAAGATTCTCCCATACTTAGCTCGGTTAATAAGAGCTAAATATAAAATACTACATCACATATTTTTTCCCAGATGCTTGTAGCATATAAACCTACTAATTTATATTCTACATTCATTATACGGCTGTGTCTCACAATGACTGGGAACCACCAAATTCACGAATTTGATTGGCTGAAATCAATACTGACCACGGTCTAGATTTTCCCATCTAGACTGGCATCTAGACCTGTTTAGTCATTTTGCGTTGAAAAAGAAGCAAACTAAAATACAAAAATGTTCACCATTTTATTTTCTTCTCAGTCATTTATGGAAGTGCCAAAAGGCCTGATGACAAAAAAAAAGTAGAGAGGACGAGCAAATTTCGGCAGGTTTAAGGGGTAAGCTCATCGCTGTTCGCAAGCAAAATGTCAGCTAGTGCAAACCAGTTACATTAAACGAATTGAAGTTTCTTCTTTGCCATCATAGTTAGTCCCCTCCACTAACTATGTTGCCATATAAATGAACATCTTATTAACTGAGCTAAGTTGGTCTGTCTGGGAGAATCTTGATTTCGGTTGTGTGTACAGACCTCACTGCGTTCGGTCTGTACTCACGACCTCAGTCAAGATTCTCCCAAACTGACCTCCTGCTCGGTTAATAAGAGCTAAGTAATGAACTCACAAACAGATGAATACAAGTCTTACTGGCATTCTATTGTGGAGCCATTTCAGAGATGGAGCTGCATCCACTGTGATAATAGTGTATGAAAAAAGCTCTTCACCTTCATTGGCACTGCCCTGTGAATTATATAAACAATCACAGATTGAAGCTCTGCAGAACTTTTCTTCCTCTGAAAATATTGCCCTCCCACTTACATGTAATACAATCACATGGAGAGTTTTAAAATACAAATTATGTATTAAGCAAACCAGGTTTACAAATATGTCTGCAGTTACTTAATTACTGCAAGTTGTAATATGAGTTAATCTCTGAATATATATTTGTACCTTTGGTGCCTGCCAGCAATCAAACAAGCCTGCCATGGTCAAGAGATGTTTATCTCCACAATGTTCTACATCCTCTTCTTTTACTTTCCTCAATTCCACTGAGTCATCTTTAGTGTTGACATTTTTTACATCTGGCTTGCCTGACGATGGATCTTTTTCTCGGAATCTTTCATCTTCATGGCTGGAAGTATCTTCCTCTTTAATTTTTCCCTTTGCATCTTTCTTAAAGTAGATATAATAAGGTTGTTTCTTTCCTCCTTTCAATGTCTCCCACTCAAAGAACCTGTAATATATTAGTCAATTACATGTATATTACTCCTTTTGAATTAACACAATAATCTGATGTGGAAATGTATTACCCACATCAGCACTTTTTGTTGAAACAATTTTGATAGACTGATGTCTGTTTATAAGATGCTATCGTTGATAAATTCTCAGCTATGAAAGAATGTAGGAACAAACAAACAAATAAACCAACCAACCCATAAGGGAATAACCCAGTCAACAAACAAATGAATCCACTAAGAAAAGAATGAATGTGTGATTGATCAACTGACTGATTGTATGACTGTCTTAACTGTCTGACTGTCTGACTTTCTGACTGACTGACTGACTGACTGTCTGACTGGCAGACAGAAAGACAAACTGACTAACTAATGGGATAAATGGATAGATTTATGACATGATTTCTGCAACTCATCATGATCACCTGCTGATAAAACAGTGGATGGCCTGGGAGGAACTCCCATATAAAAACGACAGGGTTGCTTGTTGTACCCTTTAGGGGTTAAAAAACTGGCTTTGGTATCACTTAGGGCATTCAACCTTGAAAGATCCACAGCTGGAGCTTTTGCGGTACCTTCTAAAGTATTGAGCAAAAAAGGTCAGTGTCAGTCAATGTGCAGTTTTAGAATTGGTATCTTCTAGAGGTAAAATAAATTTCAAGCCACACTCACAAAACATTATCTTGTTACGTCCATCTTAAGAGTTCTTTTTGAAATTTCCAGCAGCACCTTCGGCCTTTTTGTATGGGAGTTCCCCCTGGCTGTCCACTGTTTTAGCAGCTGGTGATCACGATGGGTGGACAGCAGGGTGGCCTAATGCTCAGCAATTCAGGTTCAAAGCCTGAGGCAGGGTTATGTGTTCCAAGGGCAGACACATTACTCTCATAGTGCCTCTTTTCAATGGCGTGTATATTATATGCTCAATAAATAAATAAATAAATTAATAAATAAAGGGAACTCAAAATTTATGCCATGGGGAGGGTAAGCCTGTGGTGCATCCAATCCAACAGGTAATAAAAATAATCTGCTAGAGTCACTTTGAGTGTGCACCAATGTAACCTGATAGACCACTTAAGTCCCAGTAACCAGTTGCTACTGGTCAATTATAAATACATTTTATAAGGCCACATAAATCTTTAAGTTACAGTATAATCTAGGATACAGTACCCTTCTGCCAAGACAACACATCTTTTACCCTTCTCTAATGGCAATTTGAATGATCTCTTGTCCAACAAAGTATCACTTCTGGCATTACTCATGTTGTAGCTGAATTCTTTAGGGTCTCCACGGTGCCATGATGGAATCAATCCCCACCTCATGGGCTGCAGAACTCTTTCAGATGTGTCCTCTGAGGTTGCATTGTTGAAATGTTGGCTGGACAACAATACTGGCCTATGGATGAAGTACAAATAATATATATTTTGGGGTCACAGATATGTCTAAGAGTTATTCAGAGTGAGCAAGCAAGTATCAGCAGCTACTCGTAACTTCAAACAAATGTTTTGTAGCATATGCTATCTCAGTCTCTGTAAACTGTCCCTAACACTAAAAGTTTGATTCAACAACAGAAGACAGAGAGGCTGCCATGAGGAATCCAGCATATTATTGGCATCACCGGCAGGAAAGAATGTTGAGATTAAATATGATAAAGTTTGAAATCAACAAAACTTGTTGCATTTGCATGCAGATTTTATGGATTTTATTCCATTCGAAGACACCTGATGACTAACCAATGACATCAATGACTAAAAATTTTGTGGAACATCCATTGATATGGGTGATTACCCATTGATTTATCATTGATGCCATTGATGTCAGCAATTAGTTATGTCTGGTTACTGTTATTGCTCCAGGAAGTACTCATGAAAGTGACAAGGGCAATTTGCATATGAAATATATGCACAGTATGGTGATTTTGGTCATACAGTTTCCTTCCTACTTTTTTTATTGGGTGTGTGCCAGCTCCAGTTCATGATAAAGGGGTTTTTAGTAGCAAGGGGTATGGGTAGATAGGGGCTAGGGTGAGAAGTTACTGAGGTGGTTCTTTAGCACAAATTATAATAAAGAAAACTTGGACAGGATCCCTTGCTTAATTTTTTTTTTTTTTTTTGCTATTTTTTGGCTGTCACCCTGAACAGGGAACATGAGCGGCGAGGAACAACAATTGGCATAAGAAGTATTATCAAACTTTAATAAGCTTATAAGGTCTGGAGTTCACAGGACATCGAGGAAATATAGATATAAAACTTCCTCGTTCTGTGACAAAACTCTTTAGTTACATGCAACAACATTCCTAACATTTTTTAGAAGTGAATTCGTTCATAACACACAAAGTAAACAAATTAAAAGGCATGCTTCAGTTCAACATCGATATAAGCTTACTCACGTGAAAGATTGCGGGCTGATATTGTAGGAGGGATAATATTTTCCCCCGCCATTACGCCAAGTCGGTTCATGGATCTTGCCGTCCTTCCCTTTGTATCTGCATGCCTTTGGGAATTCATCGGGTGCGAGTGTACTGAATAAAAAAACAAAGGCAAACAGTTATTGACAAAACAAAGGTCAGTGGATTCGCTCGGAAATAACTTAATTTCCAGTTGCTATTTTCAGTGATGACAAACTGCTCCTCATACCAAGCTGTTCTCCCACACATTTTGAAGCTAATTGAGTTCAGCTACATCAGTTAATTGCTGGAATGGTTTTGAAATATATCACGGGCGAAAATCATTAGTTGCAACAGTGAGAAAATTGACTTTAGCGAGAAGAAGACCCTCTCACGATCTGTTTTTGATTACCACTTTCACAACCTCAAATTTTGGCGCGTTTTAGGTCTGTATTGGGCAGCGGTTTACCACAACATTGTTCAATCCATCGCGACTCCGAATCTACGAACTTCGAGCCATTTTTACCTCGCTGAATGAGATTGAATTTGATACTTTAGAACGAAGTTGCCCTAAATGAGACAAAACGTGAAGTAAACACTAATTTTATTTCCTCCTTGTTTAGAAATACCGCGAAATTTGCGGAGTATTTCAGTAATGCTGTCAAGTCACGTGTGAGTTTGGAGGCCGTCCCAACAAACATTTCGCGCTGCGAACAAGCTTCTTCGGTTGTTACCTGACTCTGGTATCCGAAATTTTTCAACGATTCTTTTCTATTTTTAGTCAATTTTTTGTTCCCCGTAGCTCCTTGAGTCATTGTAGATCCTCCATAACAAAGATTAGAGTCTATACCTTGCCCTAGTTCTTTATTCTTGGCCGTTGTTCGGTCTCCAAGTGGTTGTATCGTTGTTTACTTTGGTTTTGCCGACAAGCTATGGCCGGTCATGGTTGAGTTCAACAACTCGACTCAAGACTGTTGCAGAATTGCCGGCGTTTCTTCGACTCCATCAGAGTAGAATGAGTCAGGGAGGAGTCATAATGGTGAGACGATCGTAACAGTGGTCGAAAATTTTATATATTTGGCGTGTTTTTGCGTTGATTTTTGATGCCAAACCTTGGGTTTACAACTATCTTCATATCTTGCAGTATGATGGAGGTCGAAACAGACGAACTAGCAGATCAGACGACTATCACGCCAAAATGCAGAGAGCTGGCTCGGAAACGCTTTTGAAGACAGATCTTGAACAATCCAAGGAGGCAATAAAAAGCGAAATTCGCAAGCAGCTTAAGTTAAAAGAAGGAGCAGAAAACTTGAAGAAAGTAGCCACTGACAAGAAGACTATCGCGCAGTGCAACTCAATTTTGAAAGAGGCTACTGCTAAACTGCAAGATTTGCACGATGATTTGCAAGACCTCAATGCTAGGGTATCGGAAGATACGCCCTGTAAGTATATAAATTGTTCTTTTAGATGGCAGATACAATAATCCTAAATGGCATTCCTTGACAACTTGTTCACCAGCCAACAAGCATTTCGTTGCTTCGAGAAATGACACTTGTTCATTTCTCTTGACAGGGCAAAGTTTCCTCCTCTGTTCATGAGAACTTGTCATGTTATTTTGGAGTACCACTTTTTCTGTGGTTTAGAGGCAAGCAGTAAAGATGAAGTCGTTGATTTGGGTTAAAATGTTTGGTCATTTCCTCTAATAGTCGGTAAATTTGCGGCGAGATAAACCCTGACTAAACACTACACTACCTGTGAAAAATAAGCTCTGAGCTCATCGTGTTGTTATTATACTGACGTATTTCTTTTGGACAGCTTTGTATTTGTACGGAATAGTACACACAACACAGCGCAATCCGGTCGATCTACTATTACCAATTGACAACTCTAAACCACGCTATATTTTTGATAAGTTCAGCTTGATATTCCGTGTTGTGGAATGGCTGTCAGTTTTGAAGGAATTGAAAAATTCTCGTCTGCGTTTCGGAAACAAATCACGACTTTCTTAAGTAACAAAGAAGCAAAAATTCATTACTTTAGAGTTCAAAGTTTACAATAACCTTTAGCTATCATACTCGGGATATTTTTCAGTCGCGAATATGCTACTTGGTGCGTATCGCAACACACTTGAACATTGTTTAAGTATTTAATCGTCACCCTTTGGGACTGTTAATTTTTCATTTACTTGTCGCCGTTAACCATTCGTAAAAGTTAGGGCATTGTTTAAATCGTTTCCTTGTGATGGCTGAGAGATTTTCGGGCAATTACGTTGTTAGTTTCGCCACTGTCAAGTAGTTTTAAATATTTGAAGCCTTCTCGCCTGTGTTTGTGACAACAACCATGGATTGTTTACATTTGATCGAAGGAATAGCCTTTGTTTGCATTTTGCCTCTTGTTTTGAGCTTTTCTCTTCGTTCGTTTCGTCCCACTGTGCAATCTAGGCACACTCGCAGGCTAATATTTATGATGCCTGAAGTTGTATTTAATAAATTCTAGAAACTATGCGAAATCTTTGTTAGATTACTTGGAAGATATATTAGTTTCCGTCAAGTTTATTACCAGCTAACTAGCCACTCGCTAATACGAGTTGACAGAAAGTCTACCAAATTTGGATTTGATAGATCAAGGGGTTTATATTGTTTTCCTTAATTATTTATATTAAGCTGACTGAGAGTGTGTTAGTTTTTATTTCCTTCCAAATAATGCATGTACTGTATAAAATTATATGCTGGGGTTAGTTACAATAAATTTATGAAGCATGGAGTTTTCCTTGATATGTTTCTTGTCTTAGTTTCTGGAATTTGTAATTGTGACACAACTTGATTTCCTCATGCTAGGGTTACCAGAAAATTAGAATCAGAGTCGAGTCTCATCTAATAAGTCCTGAGACACTAACTAGGGTTTAAAACTTGAAAAAGTGCTAGTGCACACTATGTTCTAGGTGATCAAGGTGGATTATACAGAATTTACAAAACAAACAAAGATTTATTGTGTTGTAAATGGCTAACTTTTCGTGGCTATTTCATACTTACTAAGGCCTGTCAATCCAAGAGGAGACTCTGTCAGTGACATGGCCTTTCCAGCATGCTCAGATTTGGGATGCCTATTCAACTTTTATTTAAGTGTATCCCATCATCTTGATCTGAACATCAGTTTTAAAATTGACCTAAAATCTTCTTACACTACATATATTAGTGCTTGTACATTGTTATGCAATTACATGAACAGTAGTATTACCAGTTATTTTAAAAATGTTATTTTCATATACCACCAAAAGGTATAGGAAAGAGTCATGAGAAATGACATTTTTGAGTTTTTACACTCTGGCTAATTTACATTGTACATGGTAGGAACAGTTACTCGCATAGATACTGACAATTTTATGTTGGAATTATGTGAATGTGATTGTTTCTTGTGTTGTTGTCTATTTGCCATAAGAATATGATTGCAGGCTAGGAATGTAACATTGCTGTTAAGGGAAAATTAATTTCAACTCTTGGCTTCAAAATGAGTACAATATGTGGATTGGAACTCCAATCATTTACATGTCTATTTAAAATAATTAAACTAGTTACTCTAACCTTTTTTCTGTGAGTACTAGTCAACTGACTGTGCCTTCTATACTACTTGCTCACAGAAAAATCCGGCTATTGCACCTGTAGTCTCAGCTAATAATTATTTGTCAAGAGTATTAGTCTAACAGTAATAATCAATCACTTGTTTGTGGATGGGCATTAATATTGGTAACTCCTCAAGGCTTGGATGGATCTCCCCAGTTTCAGTTTTGCTAATGCTCATATTTGACTCTCACTTCAGTTTATCTTTATATACTAAATTATATCATTCTGGTTATTAATTTATAAAAGTAACTTCCTACTTTCAAAAAGTAAAAAAATGAACTGTATATTTAAGATATTTGTTTTCCTTTTATTAATAAAAGAAAACCTGTTTTGAAAAAAACAATCTAAGAAAAAAATCATCCAACTGTGTAAAGCTCTGTGTTGAAAACTATTGCACAGAAGCATCTGTATGTAAATGAAGTAATCACAGGCTTATAGCACAATTCATGTAAGTGGGGGGCATCCATAGAGCACAAATTTTTATACTTTGTCTTTTGTCTTACAGCTGAATATGATAATGCCTTGTCACCAGACAAGACAGATGGCCAGCAAAATGAACCAGATGGGAGCAGTAAAATTGAGTCCTTGAAGAAACAAATTGCTGTGGAAATGAAAGTCAAACAAGGGGCAGAAAACATGTTAGCAATGTACAATGCTGCTGGATCAAAGAAAAAAGACAGTAAACTCATTGCGGAAGCTCAGCAAATGCTGGAGGACTCTAAAACAAAGATTGAAATTATACGAATGGCACTGCTGCGAGAACAGCAGCAGGGCGTGTCGTCAGGAAGGGAAGATGGTGTGTTATCTGGTAGTGCTAGTGGTAAAGAGAACGCTGCACCAGGATTAGGACTTTCACCTTTAGAACTTAGAATAGAAGATGTACGGCATCACATTGAAATCGAATCTAGAGTAATTCAGGGTGCAAAAAACATGATCAAGTTTTTGCAAAAATCTGGTCATGATAAGAAAGGCTTAGTAGAGGTAAGTGTTTAACATTCCTTAGGTGCAAGAAATTGACAAGCTGCCTTCAACCATATTATAAAATGTCACATAGACAGTTTGTTAATTTCTTGCCATAATGTATACAATAACAGATGTAGTGAGTCGAATGTGAATTTGTGGAATGTACATAGTTATGTACATAATTATTTGGGAAATTGGTTACAGATAACATAGTCAAAGTGTAGATGAAAGCAACTCTAGCTTTATATGCAGGGTCTTTCTGAACTTCTCTTAAATGTCCAGGACTCTTTGGACCACAGGAGACCAGGGCTGGGTTGTTCAAAGCCTGATTAAGCTAACCCAGGATTAGCGAGAATTTTGATTTCAGTTTGGTAACCTCTTGGTGAGGTGTTGTGTTTCAAACAACCCAGCCTAGGGCACTGGGTTAACTTTGAGACCCAGGAGAGGATGTAGTGATAGGACATTGTTAGGGACAGAGTGTTAATCGTAAAAAGCCTCAAGGGTGCATGGTGATAATTATGTATGCTTATTGAAGAGCTGAGGAGGCGCTTTTAATAATGACATTATTGTATCTCAGTCAGTGATAGAACAGAACTTGGTGTTCTTTTACTTTCTTCAGTGCCAAAAATGTCAGTAGTAATCTCAGGATTCTGGAAAGTTTTTTTATCAACCCTCACACTTCAGTGTGCAGCCATAATACTGTCAGCAGGCCTCACCTACTTTGTGGTACACACATAGTGTACAGCACTAACCATAACACTTAACCAGCACTCACAAATGTACTACCCCTCAGAGGTGTCAAATCACAGGTTTAACTAAGAATCTTGCCACTCCCTTATTAATCAGAAGTCAGACTGTGCAATGAAAATTGTAATTCAGTTTGGTTAGATTTTAGAGGAGAGTGGGTAGCTAAATTTTCCAAATTGATCATGTAACAGAAACATTAGGCTACAGAGAAAGTAGCCCAGTCTGTTAGGTTTTACATTATCTTCCTACTCATGTTGAAATTTAGGATGAAGGAGCTAGGCACAGTTTGAATCATGCAGGTAAAGTACCAGGCTTTTAGCCAGGATTTGAAAAGTGGGTGTCCAAATTGTGCTATAGGGTCTGCCCAAACAAACAATTTATAAGACAACATATGAATAATAAAACAGTTTTGTTAAAAAGTGGCCATCCACAGGTCGCCTGGACACCTATCTGGCTAAATGCCTGAACAGTATATAGAGGGAGAAATTACAGCTAACACCTCTGCTATGTTAACTTACATGACTACATGTATGTACTAAAAACTTTATGATTTTTCAGGCTGAGAGAAGATTTCATGAATCAAGTCAAAAACTAGATTTACTTCAGTGTTCACTTACGAGACTTATGGGAGAGCTATCTCCTGAACAAGCAGCTGTAGGTATTTACAAAGACTATATAACAACACCGCCATCTTATGCTGATCGTAAGGCTGTGGGATTAGGAAAACAGCAATATACAGCTATCACTAAACCAGCAGCACTCACTGGAGAGTTGTACGTAAGTAATGCAAAAGGCATTTATTACTGGAGTACTGGAGTAGAGTTTAGTCTTTAATGTAATTATAATAACTGCTAAATATCTGTCATTTGCCATTAAAACGAAGTGAGAAAGAACTAAGAGGCAGCATAATCTAGTCTCCAAGACCAAAGGGAGCCCTCCCTTTTTGTCTTAAAGCTACTAATTACATTTGTTCATAATGTCAAATCTTTAAGAGTATGAATGTTTTGCCAAAAAACACTGCTTATCTTAGTGGGATAGCTTTTGCTGCTAAAAGACAGTAATAGTCCAGATACAAATGTAACATTTTACGAGATGTTGATTTTGGTTAACTACAGTGTACATGTACAGTATTGTGTTGCAGCATTACGCAGCTTAATGCACTACACAGAAAAAGATGGTCGCTGTACATTCTACCACGATATCTTGGAAACCTGTTGATAAAACCCCTTTTTGCAGGGGTTGGAAGGGGCAAAATCTGTCCCTGTATGAACAACATTGAGTATGCAAGGCTTAAAGTTTTAATATCTTTTCTGTACAGTGTATGTTTTTGTGAGTTATTTTTATTATTATAATTTTTTTTTTCTAAGGGGGAAGTGGGGGGAGGGGTTACAAATTAATGGTAAACTCACCAGTTGTGATCTTCTTGGGTACAGTGGCTGGGGGAGATCCACCACTATTAGCAGAGCTCCATAATTTTATTATTGTGCACATTCCAGTTGCTGTAGAATTGAAAGTGTCAAATGCTGCTTTTCTGGTTTTAGAGTAAAACTTTGAGATGTAAGTCTTTAAACATTTAGACTGAATCCTGCTTGTGTTTTTTGCAGGTCCACATAGTTGGTGCTGATAGACTCTTAGCAGTGGTTCCTAATAGAGATCCTAGGAAAACTGTCAGTTTAGCAATGGTAAGCCCTGATGGCAAGCTAGGAGATCGGTCTGGATCCAGCAAAAGGAAGAGTGGTTACAATAAATGGAATGTGGATGAAAGTTTATCAGGTAAATGTAGAAAATGTAGATAAACCTTTACTTACAGTGGACACCTCCTTTGCATTATAAAGTGCAAGTGCATAACTTTGTAATTGCTTCCTGTAGTCATCATATATTTTGCTTTGTTTTCTGTGATTTTAGTTGAAGTCTGCGCTGTCCTTAAACTGGATAACTGCTATGTGGGACAAAGTTCATGGAAGGCTTTAGGAAAAGACTGTTGGAGTCAGCAGTTTCATATTGACCTTGACAAGGTAAAACGCTTTCAATGATTCTAATAGAAACAAAGTGAATTAAAGCCTGGTGAAACCTAAAACAAGACTAGACTAGAAATGAAATCCTTGTTTTTACTTGATATGAAACTCTCTTGTGCTCTAGGCATCGCTTGAGACTCTTGTGCACTTTGACTTAATGTGTTCCAAGTTTCAGGAAATATCTGTCCTCCTCCCCCTCCCAAGGAAGGTCAATGGAAATTCTGGAGAGGCTGTGGAATGCAAAAATAGGCCACCTGACTCTGTTGGAACCTTGTACAATATTTACTGGATTTCTTTAACCCACTCCATTTCAAACTATTTTTTGGTTCCCTCAAGAGTTAAATAGCGGGTTTTAACTGTAACACTACAGTAAATACTACGTGCATTTTCAGTCTTATAACAATTGCTTGTCTTTGTATGTTATAGTCAAGAGAGCTTGAAGTTGGTGTGTACTGGCGGGATCACCGCTCCCTCTGTGGAGTAGCATTCCTCAGACTAGAAGAGTTTCTCGATAATCAGCGGCATCAAATTCAAGTTCCTCTTGAACCTCAGGGCTGCCTGTTTGCTGAGGTTAGTCTCACTGTTTGTTTTTTTTCTTTTTTTTAAATTTGTTTTTTCCCCTTGCCATTTATTTTGCATGATTTTTATACTTCGCATTGATATTTGTTTTTTCTGAATTTGAAATGAAATGCTGCTCTTGACACTGATATTGAGATTGGTACCATAAAGTGACATTTGAAATGTTGCTCCTCACATTGAATAACGTGACACCACCACCACCACCACAACAACAACAGCAAAAGTTTTTTAATTTGTTAAACCCTAATACCTTAAGTTACGTTTCAAAGGGAGCATCTTATGCAAATAAACATTTTGGTGAATCAAAGGTCTCATGAACTACTGTCCAAGTAGAAAGGTGCGTCAAAGTTTTGGCCATTGACTGTTTTTTCACTAGAAAAATTGTTTGGCATGTAATCACTTGAATCCCCAGATTACAAGTGACTTTTGTTGTCAGTTTACCCAAGGAACAGGAATTGAAATTTGTGTACTTTGCTCTTGTCATTAAATGGCATGACACCACCACCACAGCAATAACAAAATTATTGTCAAACCCTATGACCTAGCAACTTTTCAAAGAGTGTTTAAGTAAAAAAAAAATGTGGTTAATCAAATGTTCTAAAATAATCTATTCTTTCAGTAGTACTGCCCTTTTCAGATATATTAATTAAGTAGTGCTTCAATATATATTTAAGACATGTTCTCTCACCACAGTAGTTTTACTTAATTATTAGTAGGCAAGATTTTGTTTTTTGATGAAAAAGCTTGACTCTAAGCATCTCAATAATACATGATGTCTTTGCTATCTGCTGATTTTAAGGGAAGGAGTCTTTTTGATTTTGTGTTATCTTGCATGGTTCCCATGTTCAGGAGTTCAACTGAATCAGTATTAGTTTTGTCATATTTGTAGCAACTTTTTATGCGATAATATTTAAATAAGCTCTGTGCTAGACAGGTGTTGATGGTTCACAATATTCTTTGGACTGGTCTTTCCAGTTACAGTGTATACCATAATTTATCACCTTTCCTAACTTTTATTCTGAAGTAAATTGAAAGATAAGGTTCATTTTCTCTTTTCTTTTGGGAGTCTTTTTTGCCAATTCTTACATCACATGTCTGCTATTTTAAAGGCCTTATAACATACACTTTTGTGGTCTTTTGAATAATTAATTTTTTGATTTATAATTTTAGACATGATAGATCTATATTTAAATTTAAAAAATTAAGCCTTGAAGGTTTTTTGAAAAGTTGGATTAAACAAAAATAATTGATTGAGAAGTACTATAATTTCAAATCATTTCTCAGACTAAAAGTAGTTGAAGTTATGCAGATGTCTTAATTGAAGTCTTGACAGTTGATGTTGTTGGCAGATGTGTGCTTCCAATTCGCAGTTGTTTAATATTTAGGTTTTGTTTCTGTACTTGTGTCAAGATTTTATGTGATCAAATTTTCAGTTTTATATCAAATTCAATTTCCTTCCCAGTAAATGGTTCCTAAATTATTTGATGTTTAAGCTCTCTTTGCCGGGAGTTCATTTATATCATATACGTATATCATTCAACATTCACACTTTGCCTCTTGCAGCATAATTTACATATTTTCTATTACTTTTCTCAATAATTAATTTCCTTCAGCTTTGAGTCATTGCAAAACTTCTCTGTATTTTTCTTTCTTATAAAGCAAGTTTCAACAAATATTAAGGGTAGTTTTAATTCAGTCCTGGTCTTATGTTTGGGATTTCAGAAAAAGCTGATTCAATTTCTCTTCAGCCTGCATGTGGATGTTTTGGTTTAATACAGCGGACAGTTTTTAATTGCAATGCTCCAGCGGTTTCCTTTGTTCAAACCGGCTTTTGTTCGCTGTATGAATTTTGTTGACAGTATTTGTTGTTTTATCTTCACAAGTGATGTGATCTACAAGGTGTGTAATTGGTAGCAATAAATTCACCATGGATATCTTTGCTTTACAAGTTCCTTGTAATTCCTTGATATGTAATTATGCTGTGCTGAAGTACTCCAGCCATTTTATTTTCCACTCTCATTATAATTCAACATTTTGACACTTCTGTTTGTATTCAAAGTCTTTTCTATGCAGATTTGCATAAATTTCATGACCCCTTGTTCAAGGTGTTATGAAATAATATATTTCTGTTGTAAAAAAAAGAAGTAATCTCTTTAAAAGAGGTTGATTAATATCAAGCTCTAGACCTAATCCTTAGCTGCTGGTTTTAAATACCACACACATGGAAATTATTTTTGTTTTAAAGAAAATCAAATTTACATTTTTTCTGTTTGGTTTTGGCACACACATTTTCTGTGTTTTTGCTTCAGATATATAGCCCCTCAGTGCTAAAACACTCCTTTGACAAGGTGCCTATTGTAAACACTTTTAGTAATCTGTAAGGGGAACCAAAATTAAATTTACATACTTCTCAGACTTTACAGGTGCCAGATTTTCTAGTTTCAATGTTTATTTTCTTTCTGCCTGATTGGAACCAATGAAACCTTATTCTAGGACAGGTTCCGGCAGGTGAAAAGATGTTATTGGCTGGTTACACGATGAAAAACTTCTAAGCAATTAAGAAGCAACCAACTGAATACTCTGTGAAGTCTTCTGGCTTGATTGGTTTATCAAAGGGAGGAAGATTATTCAAAATGCCTCCCCTGTCTCCAAAGCTGCTGTGATCTTCTTTATGATGTTTATTCATGAGGTTTTTGGCATTTACGGCTTTACAACAGAAGGCTGAAGAGTTTTGTTATTGTGTTGGGACTTGTCAAGAATTCTGATCTTTGATCACCTAGGTTATGCAGGTGAAATTAACAGGGATTTGGCTGCCATTGGCGATTGTCAAGAGCTCAAAAACAGATAAGTTTTTCATCCCACTGTATTTTGCCTCGGGCACATGAAGTGAAAGGTGGATTTGAGAAGCTTCCTGTTTGTTCTCTTTGTGAGCAAATGTACTATTTCACTTAAAATGCATTATTTAGTAATAATTTGAAAGGTGAGAATGAGAGACCCAACCGAAAGCCATGTATGGGGAAAATAATTAAGGCTGATTGAAATTCAGATTAGCTCAACAATGAATTACAGACGAGATGGCCAAGATATTGTGGGGAAAGAGCAAAATGGCTTCCATTATCAAACCAGGCTTGGAATCACAAGCCGCAAGATTGAAAAGATCTACGAGCAGTGGAGCAAGGAATTAGCCAAACATGATTATGGAGGTGTGAAATCAAGGAAGGATGAAAAATTCTCGGTTAAATCAGAATGGAAATCCTCAAGGAAAGAAAACATCTGTGTGAATAGTAATGAGCAAGAAATTATGAGCAAAAAAACATTTAGACCTGGTGGATTCTCAGGTAAATATTCTGTTGAAGACAAAAAATTGCCTCCTTTCCGCACTGGAAAGTATATCCCTAAAGATGATGTGTATTCCTGTGGTGTGTTTGTACAGAATGATCGGCCAGTTGCTCTGTCTTCAAAATCTAAGGAAGGCTCAGACAAAGTTGTGTCTGGTTCACCACCTCCATTTAGAACAGGAAAGTACACACCAAACGACAATACTATCTATGTGAAAAGCCCAGAAAAATTATCAACACAAGGCACATCTCCCTCACAAGGTTCCCCAACACATAGGACAAGAAGGGCATCTTTTGACAGAATTATGAGCAAATGTGATGGATATTTTTCTAGTGGAAGAAAATCACCAGGTTCACCAAGAAATAGAACTCGAACAAAATCTCCTTCAAACGAGGGAGGTAAAACTTCATCACTCGAACAAATCAGCCATACCTCGGGAAGTGACAGTCAGACAAAGCTTAGATCAAGGAGCCAAATTAGCCAGAGTGCAGAAATAGTGGGCAAAAATATTAAATCTCGTCCTCGTAGTTCTGCTATGGAAAATTATGTTAATTCAAGAGCAAGGACCAGAAGTGAAAATATGCTTTCTGTGAAAACTGCTCAGCGCCCCAAAAGTTCAATATTGGAAAACAGCACTCATCGTTTTAAAGCAATTGTACGAGATATTGATGTAGGGTCTGCTGAAAAAAGTAAGCCAGCAACGAGAACTCAAAACAGACCACGAAGTGCTGCTATGGAGAACCCTCTTTCTAATCGGCTGCCAATGAAGATTGTGACAAATACAAAAGGCCAAGCATCTTTAGGCAAGAACCTAGTGGTACTGGATAGGTCACCGAGTCGAGAATCTAACAGATATTTGAGGAAAGGTTCAGATTCTTCAGAAAGGGGACACCAGCGTTCAAAGACGACCACTTCAATCACCAGCAGCTGTAGTGAGAGAACTTACAACGCGGTTAAACCTAGGAAGCCAAGGCGCGTATTACACAGAAATGCAGCTTACGTGAAGCCTAGAAAAAACAGAAACTACAAGCCTGTGGAACGGAAACAAGGCTCTAGTCGAAAGAAATCTGCTCGAGCATCAAAACAGGAAAAATTGTCACCAGAAACAGTTGATGGCTGTATTCCTGAAAAACCATCTGCTTCCCAAAGGACATTTGTGTTTTCTTTATTTACGGACAAGTTTTGCATGCGAACTAAAAGAGGGAATGGTCAATTTGGCATCCCTACAATCAAGAGATACCGTGTGATGGTGTGGAAGATAAAGAGAATTTCTTACCTTCTTTATGAAAAGGTGCTAATTGTTTACTATTTTACATCTTTGTCTGTTGCTTGCAGTAGATTTAATTTATTCAGAAATAATGTTGAGCAAGGTTTGGCTAAATCTGATTTTTTAATGATTGCCTATCAAATGGGTTTTGAGCAGCATATTTCACCACTGGAGCATTTGCAAATATTTCATTTGATATTAAATTATTATTGTAAGGTTCTTGCTTTCTTCTTAGTCTGTTTCTGCTGCGTTAAGTTTTTTTTTTTCGTTTTGTCTGTCATAGCATGGTTTCAGTCTCCACCATTGATTCTTAAATTACCCATTGAAGATTCACCATGTCTCAGCAAGAGGACTTAGATTGATCAATAGCACCTGACATAATTCTTCTCAAACCAAGTCATGCTCAGTTTGATCACAAATTCTAAAACCACAACAAAGAAACAGCATTGTATTTGAATGTTATTAATCACTAACCATGCAAACAGGAACACATGCTTGAGAAATTTTAATCAGTCTGTGTTATGTTGTGCATTCGTGTGCTTACAGTGTAGAAGAGAGTCCTCTCCCTCAATAGTTCTTATTAATTATAAGTCTTTTTTCCTGTTACAGTATTGGGTTTTTCTTCAAGTGAAATGTAGTCACTCTCTAATTTATCTGATTGTTTTTTTTAGCCCTCAGTTCATAATTGTACATAAAGTTCTTTTCCTTTCAGTTGAAAATTACAATGCTGGCATGAAGCTCTTAAATCTTCAGGATGTCTCCACATACTGAACATTAAAGTACAACATTTCACTGCACAAGTGTACTTTTTTCCTGATATTTTTCAAGTTTTCTCTTCATTTGATTTGTATATGATGCCATTCTGGATAACCAATGTCTTTCAGTTAATAAGCTTTGCTTCCCAAAACAAATGTCATATCAGGTGTTTTTCAATTCTAGTTAATTAAAGCGATGGGAGCTGGTCTGTTGTTTTTTTCAAATGTTCACAACAGATCAGACTAGCAAAATTAAAGCAAGATTGTTTCTGCTTCTATTTAAAAATATAATTTTATTTCTTGTTACATTCATCCTCAGCAGTGAATTGATTTATTTTAACTGGTACTTTGTCAAGTGAAGCAGGTTATTAAGTTATTTCAGACAGTCTTTTCAATCAGAGAAATCTCTGTAATCTTTGATTAGCTATTATATCAAGTAAACTTGAAGCCCTTGGAGGTGTTGAATATTCTGTTATTTCACCCTACAAGTTGCTTTGTTTGCGTAATTGAAAACCTAGAATGTTTTCAGTTCTTCTCCCACCTGTTGTTTCAGAGGCATTAATATTTCATCTGTCAAAGGAAAAACCAAAGGCTAGTTGTATGGAGCTAACCTACAGCCTACGTTTTTCTCAAGAATGATTCTAAACTGTACTATGTTTGTGTTTCCTTTCAAATGTGTTAATCAGGTAACATTCCTCAACCCCATGGTGACGAAAAAGCCGAGACTACAGCGGCAGAAGAAGCTATTTCACATTCAAAAAGGTGAGAGTTTGTGATTATATTGAAGATAATTCTCTGGTGCTAGTGCTGGTAGTCTGCCTTTTTATAGACCTTACAGCAGATTTAATTTAGCTGGGAGTGTCATAATGTGTTAATTAAAAAAAATTGTTGTTCCACACAGATTTGTACATTCTGTGTTGAGTGAATTCCAAGTAAAACTTGGATTTTAATTTATCCACTCTGACATTATAAATACACTGTAAACTCTAACATGTTGTTGAAACATGTGAATTAGATACAGCCATGTTGCATTCAAATCATAAGATTGTGATCTCTATACCTTTTGCTGACAGTTCTATTCAGTGAAATGTTGAGAAAATAATTATTTTCTAAAGCACAGTAAAATTCATGTAACAGTGAAATAGTTTTGAAACATTAGTGGTGTTACAGATTCCTGATTGTGAACTATTTTGCTAATCTCAATCACAAGGCCAAATTCCCTTATAATGTAGTTATGGTATATTGACACTATATGAGTCAATGTTTCCACTTGAACATCTAAATAATTTGTTGTTTTATCATTTGTAAGGCAATATGTAACTTGCTCTTAGCCAGTTTAGTAAGTATTGTTTACATACCTGTAAAGTGCAGCTTGATCATTGACAATTTTAAACTCCAACTACCTCAATCTCATCTGAATTGTTTTTCCCCTAACATGAGTTCAATGCTGCAGGGCTGTACTGCAATAATGTGACTAATAATATTGGTTTTGCAGCAAATAGGGCTTTTTTCATTTGATTATTGAAAGTAATCTTTGGGTATTGGTTTGGTTTTAACACTATCACATTAAGCAATTGACTTTAAAAAAACATGTTCTTCTTTCTCATTTAATCAGAAATAAAGCCAAAAAACAGTCATGATTTAGTACTTGCACATGTTTTTCCATGCTTTGTGTATGGCAAGTGTATAATTTGCTTCAAGTTTTGATTGATTCCTTGGATTATCTTTGAACTTTGCGATTGGCCAGAGTGATTTCTTTTAATTGCTTTTATTACAACACTCATACAGCTGCAGAATAATGCCACCATAATTAATGTTGTGTTTCCTTTCATTTTAGGCAAGAATTTCCTCCGTGCAGGTCAAATGAACACAAATGTTGCGACATGGGCAAGATTACTCAAGCGAGCAGCTCCACCAAATTGTACAACAAACAACTCCACGCTGAGTCCGAATTCTGCATCACCTCAGTATCCAAGGCAAGTACCTACTGTATCATTTGTGCATGGCCAGCTTGGGCAGTAAACTGAGCTCAAGGAACAGCTAATCAATGTACATACGATGTGGAGACACTGTGGTCAGACCACTTGACCTGAAATCTGGTGGTACAGAACTAGTTTAAGCTCTTGACTTTGACGGCCACTGCAATAGGGCCATTTATACAAGAAAAATAAGCCTCAGCTTACACAAGCCATGGCTTACATAAGACGCAAACTGGACCAAAGTGCTCGTATAAATGGTTCACAGTTTATTCGTGACCAATGCCTCACTTTTGTGTTGGTTGTCACAGCAATTGTGGAATTGCATGAGCTGTCACACGAGTGTGGGAAAAATTGCACTTGCGCAGTGTGAGTTCACGTCTTATGTAAGCCGCAAACAAGCCACGATACCATTTATATGAGTGGTTTCGCGTCTCAAATAAATTTGTGGCTTATTTAAGCCAAGCTCAAAACCCTCGTCTTCTACAATCCATAGCTTATTTTCCTTGTATAAATGGCCCTAATGTACAATATAGTTGGGCTGTTCTTGATAGTCTTCAGTTCAATTCTTCTACCACACTTGTATAAGGACCAACTAGTGTACCTCCTGCCAGTTAGGATTAATTTTACAACCAAGTTTCATTTATTTGCACAGTGTTTCCGCCAGAGCGCACCATTGCGGGAATCTCGTGTTACAATTAGAGATGGCCCCCAGAAAAACAAAAAAAGGGCCAATTTGGCCCTTTCCTTTTACAAGACTGCAGGCTTAACACAGGCATAATAATTTAAAAGCCATCCCAGTGCTGGAAATTGTGATCTATATGGTTGCCAATGCAACAAGCATTTCATCCTTGGCGACCAAACATTCTGGTTTAGTTGCCATAGTACGGCATAATGGCGACTACATTTCTCTGTGTTGATGATCAATAACGGTTATTTTGTCATACATGTCCATGTAGAAAATCATATTGAAAGATCTTTGTTTCTGAAACATTCAACATCAGAAAAGAAGTCAATCTGTCCTTTTGCTTTGCTGTATTGATTTTCTCATATTGGAAAACTTCCAAATGGCTGACCGAGTTTGAAATTGCCCTATAATGCATTGCAGACCCTTGATCATTGACTACATCATGTAGGCCTAAGGATTGTTCTCTTGTAATGCACGGATCCTTCATACTAGTATCTGATTCAAAAGAAACTTTATTGAGTAGAAACCCTTCAAAA